AAGTGCTATATTACAGTTGCACGTGATCTTTCAGTAATCTCTTTGTTTTCACGAACAAATTTCTCAAAAAATATTCTTTTAGGCTGAAACGTTCCATACCTCTTCTCAGCCCAAAGGTGAATTGTCATTCAAGAGTGTACGTTAAGTCCAGTCAGCCATATTTTGTTTATATTTACAAGAATAATAGCACCCCATTCTGTTTTTCCCAGAAACTTTGTGCAAAATAACTTAAACATCTGAATTTTAAATTTGCAGCCTAAGGCCCTGATCCTACTATTGCAGGGATGGGCAAACTTTTTGGCCCGAGGGCCACATCAGCTTTGTGAAAATTTATGGAGGGCCAGGTAGGGAAGGCTGTGCCTCCCCAAACAGCCTGGCTCCTGCCCCCTATCTGCCCCCTCCCACTTCCCGCCCCCTGACTGCCCCCCTCAGAACCCCTGACCCATCCAACGCTCCTTGTCCCCTGACCGCCCCCTCCTGGGACCCCCGCCCCTAACCACCGCTTCGACCCCTATCCACACCCCGACCGCAGACATGGCCCCCGGGACCGCCCCCTCATCCACCCCACCTCCCCGCTGCCTGTCACCTGACTGCCCAGACCCCTATCCATAAACCCACCCTCTGACAGCCCCCCAGGGATTCCTACGCCTATCCCACGTCCCCTGTTTCCCGTCCCCTGACAGCCCCCTCCCCCAAACCTCCGCCCCATCCAACTGCTCCCTGTCCCCTGACTGCCCCCCGGGACCTCCTGCCCCTTATCCAACCCCCCCCCCCCACACACACACCTCCTTATGATGCTGCTCAGAGCAGCAGGAGCTCGCAACCCTGCCGCCTGGCCTGAGCCAGCCACGCCACTGTCCTGCCCGGCAGGAGTGGTGGGCCAGAGCGCTGGCGGGGCGGTGCGGTGCGCTGAGGCTGCAGAGGAGGGGGAACAGTGGGGGAGGGGCTGGGGGCTAGCCTCCCCTTCTGGGAGCTCAGGGGCCAGATAGGACGGTCCCACGGGCCGTAGTTTGCCCACCTCTGTTCTATTGGCTCTGCATGGCTGAACCCCTATTTCACAGATCATAGTGGGCATTCCCTGCCAGTGTAATGAGAGGAATCTCAGCCTCTGTGCTTTGGATCCCCTGGGGTGTGTGAAACTTCTAGAGCCCCTATCGGTTGCAGCATTGGTTCCTTGTGTGGCCTCCTGGGCACATTTCCTGGGCACTGGCTCTGTCTGTTACACCTCTGGGAAGTGGGGCTGCTCTGCTTACCTGCCCTAGGCCCCCAGGACCAGCACAGACCCCCAAGATACTCCAATTAACTCCAAAGCTTCAGCAAGTCCCTCCGGCAGGCAGCAGTTGTGAAGCAGTCAACACATGTTATACTTTGTACAGACTAACACTTTTATGCTCCTTTATACTTACTCATATAAAGCACAGGAGAGTACGGATCATACAAAACAGTAAACACCAAACACAGGTCCCTATCTCACCTTCCTCACTCCAGGACATTCTTTGGGCTGGGGTCTGAGTCCCTTGTGTTGTCCAGGGTCCTTGTGCCATCTTAATTCAGGAAAGCAGACTGGCCCCCCTTGCCCCATGAAGCTGCTACATTCTGGATGACCTCACCCTTCTGGAGCCCCTCACCCAGTTTTTGTGACCTTATTCTCCCTTGTCCTAGGCTTTGGCTTCCTGTCTGCTCATGCCTTTGTGAGGTTTTCTTATTTAAACTCCTTCTGTCACCTGGCCTCTTTTGTTGTCCTCCTGAAAACTTTCTGCTGCTTCTTCATCCCCCTTCCCTCCAGCAGGGGTTCTCAAACTTCATTGCACCGTGACCACCTTCTGACCAACAAAAATTACTACATGACCCCAGGATGGGGGGACTGAATCCTGAGCCCGCCCCAGCCCCACCATCCTTGGGGGGGGGCCCCAAAACTGAAGCACGAGCAATGCCACCCCTGGCGGGGGGGGGGACCCTAAAGCTGAAGCCTGAGCCCTGCTGCCCAGGGTGGTGGGGCTCAGTCTTCAGCTTCGGCCCTAAGCCACAGCAAGTGTAACACCAGCCCTGGTGACCCCATTAAAATGGGGTTGCAACTCACATTGAGGTCCTGACCCACAGTTTGGGAACCACTAATGAATCGGCTACTGTGTTTTCCAAAGGTTCAGCTATTTTTTGCATAACCTTTGTGAGGTCTAAATACTGTCATTAACCTTAAGTATTTCCCTTTGTACGTGTCTGAGGTATACATACAGGCCCTGTCAGCAGGGTGGCTCTACATACATATAGGCACTCCATATACAGCAATTTTTCATAATACTGTAAAGTTGTATCCATCAGAAATAATAAGTTATGCAGATATAGCCCCACTTCACACCCTACAACTCCATAGATTAGAGCATTGCTGAAGTCAGCTGGTCTATGCACAGACGCAGGGGTCTGTCTGCGTGCATCACAGTGCAGGATCAGGGCTAAAGCCCTCATTGAGGAATAATTACTTATGTTTGAGAAAGGGCAAATAAGTTATAAATCATTGAACATTTTTTGTGCATGCCTATGAAAAATATTAGTGGTTTTTAGTTGTTATAATATACAATTGCATAGTATTGCAGCTAGGTTTTTTGTGTGTGTGTGTGTGTAAATACCTGAGAACTGTAGCTTCCATTCTGTGGAGTTGCATTAAAAAAATTGTTCAATTCAGTAATGCTGTATCTTAAAGATTTTTTTGTTTCATCTTACAAAATTGAATGTTCCTTAAGCAAAATTAAATTGTCCAGATTGCTCATATCCAGACTGATCCAAAGCCCACTGAAGTCTTTCTACTGAATGCACTGAGTTTAGGATTAGGCCATGTTGTATTATTAGGATACTATTTAGATTATTAAATTATGCAACTTTAATATTAAAGTATGTACAACATGGGCAAGGTAACTCTTGCCATGGAACTTTAATATCTTCTATTTCTTGTGTGTTCACATATATGCAGTGTTAACTTTGAATTTAATGTATTAAATACTATATCCTACTTTTTGAAAAGTGGTTCTCACAGCAGAGCAGAGTAAGGCTGACTCCCAGAGTCAAGGATTGGCGTGACATAGCAGATCACTGGTCCAGATAACACCAGGGGAAAGTCACAGTGGGTTGTGGGGTGGTTTTTTTTTTTTTTTAAATCCAGTTAAAATTTGCTAATTTTGTAGGAGTTCTTTATTTTTCTGGTGAATCACTGCTGTAGCCTAAAATACAACTCTGGTATTTTTGATGGAGGTCACTCTTGTGTTGTTACATTATGCAGCTAGAGATGGCTAGTTTTCGTTGGTTAATGAAAGACTTACCAAAAAGGTATTATCCAAAACCATTGTCTGCCTCATTGTTCATAGGAATCTCATTTATGCAGATATAGTTTTGCTTCTACAGCTGTTTGTCAGAAAATGGGAATGTTAGCTATTTTGTGTAATGTAGTGTGCACGAAATAAAATAAATATTGCATATTTTATATTTGTGTGTTCATATATCTAGTTTATATAATAATGTACAATCATATACCTATATGGAACCCTCAGCAGGTTCATTCTCCTATCTTGCAAAATTTACAGATCATAAATGTTATGGCAGATTGGTACTTACAAATTGCAGAAGGAAGAGAACCTAGGGGGCTCCAGAAGAGGGGTGGAATAAACAGACCGCTCCCTTTGTACCCAAACTCTGCCAGCACTGATGGCAAATAGGATACATGTTTGGCAGGTGGGCAATCTGCTGGGCAATCCATTGGGAGTTGTATATATATCCAGAAAATGTATCCTCCTTGCCACATATATCTTTTCATTTAAGCAAGGTTCCAAATTCATACGTACAGTTGTCACCCTTTAAAATTCATTCTTATTTTAGAGACAGTACCAATACCAGTGGTATTTCCCGTTTTAAATATGTGGAATGTCTGTCAAACTCATGTAATCTTTTAATACTGATTGAACCTAAAATGCAACTGCTGTATATCTCATGTACATACACCCACTTCTCAATAAAAGGGTACTTGTGGCACCTTAGAGACTAACAAATTTATATGAGCATAAGCTTTTGTGAGCTACAGCTCACTTCATTGGATGTCCGATGAAGTGAGCTGTAGCTCACGAAAGCTTATGCTCAAATAAATTTGTTAGTCTCTAAGGTGCCACAAGTACTCTTTTTTTCTTTTTGCGAATACAGACCAACACGGCTGCTACTCTGAAACCACTTCTGAATGAATCATCCAGCAGATATATATTTATAACGGATTTCCAACACTGTGACATAACTTAAAGAAACATCGTCATCTTAGTTTAGAACCAAAATTTGTCCTTCAGATCTCTCCTCAAGATCTGCTATTATTGTTGTGCCTATGTGAAACTCCCAACTGATTAAAGCTATGTAGATGGCTGTAGGGATTTCTAATGTTTATCTGCTATATTTGTTTACTTACATTTTATAAGTTTAATAGAGATGTGCATATATGCCATGAATCAGGAAAGCATGTAAGCTTTTCTGAATAGGAATGCTTCCCTGAAAAGCTTTAAAAAAAAAAAAAAGCCAAAAGCTGGCATTTATAACAACATGCTCTTATTCTTGTTTCTTCTTCTTTTCCCTTCACTTCTCCTTTTGAGTTTTTATTATTCTCCTTTGTTGTGTCTGGGACAGAAGCTACCTTCTTAATCTGTGTTTGTACATCGCCATAACTGACTGGAGCTTCTAGGAATTAGCACATTGAGAACAGGCTCAGATTTTCAAGGTAGCCTAAAGTGAAACTGAGCCATCTAGTTTCACTGAGGAAAATGCAAAAGTAAATGCCATAGGCGTTGAAAAGTAGGTTAGAAAATCTAAGCTGTTAGTAATACAGGTACTGAACTTTGTAAATGAAGAATTTTTATCTGAACAATAATTCTTTAATTGAATTAGCTGTTATGTTGGGTGCTATTTTTTGATCATAGTCTACATTTGCTCTCCTGAGCTTACTTTTCAATAATACTGTTTACATTTTTTCTTTGCAGTTCAACTTTTTAAACTGCTTTGCCTCCCTCTTCTACATTGCTTTTGTCCTTTTTGATATGAAACTTCTGCGACAGGTGAGTTCTGGAAACTGTAAGATATCTAAGAAATACAGGGTTAGTTGAAATAGGAATTCAGAGGGTTTTTATTGCTTTTTTAATATAGGATATGTGTTCACCCTCTGTTAATAATTTCTGGCAAATCCAGTTATCTGTATTTCAGTGCCTCTAATATATTTGCAAAGTCATAACAATATTAAAGAGGCACGAATAAAACCTACAAATAAGAAAATATTTTCAAACAATTTGACCTACAAAGGAGAAAAAGGTGGGTGGGAGGTTAATATCTTTTTGATATATAAACAAGGCCTGAAACCTTTTTTCTCTTGCCCTTTTTTTTTTGTTATGCATTAGACTTTTCAAATCTTGTCTGCATTATTTTTCCTGAGGGACTCTGTTGACGACTGGAGAACAGTAGGATTACAACTACCATAAAAACCAAGCATAAGGAAAGAATTGAGGGGAAAATCATTTTTAGTCACCTTTTAAAACTCACTCTGTTTTTATTGATATCCATCTAACTTAAATGCATGAAAAATAGGAAGAAAAGATGTTTTTGTTTAAAAATTTAAAAATCTTCGATTTAAGCTGATAACCCTTGAACATGAGTTCTCTGGTCCTCCAAGGAGACCTCCAGAAAAACCAGGAAAGACAAGACTTGATATTGCTGATATTTTAATTTAAAAAGCAACTGGAAAAGAAATTAAACAAAACAAAAATAAATCCAAACAAACTTTCAGGTTTTCTTTATACATCATAAAGAACCACAAACATTTTTTTTTTGTCTTTGCGGGTAATTTTTTAAATAAGTAAATTAAGCAACAGTTTAAACCTACAAATTAGAAAACGTCTACAGACAGTTTAAAAGCAGAAAGTGAAGAAACAAAGGCCAGTTTTAAAAACTGTTGGTTATAAATACCAGCCTTTGCAGTTGAGGAGCTCCTCCTCACCCAGGTAATGGGAGATTGGACATGGAATGCTAGTCTCATGAATTACAGTGTCACTTAAGATTTTCTTGTGTTTGATATTGTCCTTTGTTTTTCCTGATGTGGTGATTTCTGAGCTGCTTGTCCTTGGAGGTACAAGAATTCCTCCATTTCCCTCTTTTTATTTTCCCAAACTCTAGTTATAGTGACCCTTTGTCTGAAAAGGCCGCAATTTGGCTTGCTTTGGAGCCCATTTAGCTCCGTTATTAGTTTTGTCAGTGGGGTTGTTACACATTGGGAAAGTATTCATTTTCCCCACAAGGGACTGAGTGTACAGCGTGCTCAGTACTTAGTCCCTACCAGCCCCTGGCAAAGACTGGGAATTAGATTTACCTCGTATGTGTTGTGGTATTGCTAGACCACTGGACTGGCCTGAGATTTGCTTTTATTGTGATTATAAATAACCATTGACAATATAATCTAAATGCACAAAATAATAAATAATTTAAAATATATCACAGTTTTGTTAAATAAATATTGTTTTGTTTAATTTTCTTAAGAGCTTGGCTACTCTGCTGATAACTTCACAGATCCTTAATCAATTTGTAGAAGCTTTACTTCCTTACTGGCTCCAAAAGAGACATAATACGAAAGTGAAGAAAAGGGTGTACTCCGTAAAAGTGGATACTGACCTTTCATTATTTGAGCAAGTCAACCTGGAAAAAGAAATGGGCACCTATCTTGTAAGTTGAATATATGCTACTTTGGTAAAACTTTTGAAATTTACTGCTGACAAAAAGGGGCCATATGTTAATTTTAGATGACTGTAATGTAGTGGCTTGTGAAGAGAAAGAACTGTTTTATTTTAGAAGGGAATGTGAAGATGTGGTGTAAACATTTTGGGTATTGTGCATTAGTCATGATGTGTCCCATACAACACAGAACCCAGAGAAAACTAAATTGCTAACGTAACAACTGCTTCAGTCTGTTCTGTCTCATCATAAAGTAGGATAGTAAGTTGCTGCATCAGAAATATTTGTTCACTTTTTACCAGCAGAAGGTAAAATAGCTTATTAGTCTAAGATGTTTTGTGCGAATAGATACTGTAAAAATCATGTTGCAATTTTAAATAAACAAGGAATGATACGAGAATACATTATACTCAATTCTATTAGTGCCTTTGGTACACAATATACTTGTGTCCCCTCTAGAGATATGAATGTTCTAATCATTACCCCTTCATAATTTCCACTGTTAAAAATCAAAGGATATGTCTAGAGCAGGGGTTCTCAAACTTCATTGCACCGCGACCCCCTTCTGACAACAAAAATTACTACACGATCCCAGGATGGGGGACCGAAGTCTGAACCCTGCTGCCCTTGAAGGTGGGGGTGGAGGGTGGTGGAAGCGGGCAGCCGAAGCCCGAGCTCCACCACCCCGGGCAGAGGGGACCAACGCCAAAGCCCCAGGGCATTAGCCCCTGGCCGGGGGCCTGTAACCTGAGTCGTGACACCCAGGGCTGAAGCCATTGGCTTCAGCTTCAGACCCGGGTGGTGGGGCTTTTGGGCTTCAGCTTTGGCCCTGGGCCCTAGCAAGTATAAGCCAGCCCTGGCGGTCCCATTAAAATGGGGTCGCAATCCACTTTGGGTTCCTTATCCACATTTTGAGAATGCTGGTCTAGAAGGTGTAACCTATCTCATAATCTAAAACTTCTTTACTTTCTAGTTATTTCAGTCTTTTTCTTGTTCTATGTCCCTGGTTATGCTTACTAAAGATGCATTCATCCCTGCCACCAGCGCAGTGATATTCTCCAAAAATACCTGTGCCAGTGATTTCCTGCTCATGAGTCTTTTGCTTCTAACAAAAGCCTATGAAGGAACTCCCATAGTTCACATGTTTGGAGCTATCAAGGCACTTCACGCACCCTTTTCCTAAAGTCAGTTCCTTTCTAATTGCCTTTGGTAGAGCTACTACTGTGACTTATCAGTACTTTGGCAATTGGTCTGGCTCACAGCATCTCTCAAAATTTGCAGCATTTCTGGGTCTTCCATATCCTTGTTGGTAAGATTCTTAATTAAAGAAAAAAACTTTCTCGAATTCTGGTCCCTATGTGTATTCCACTTTGGGGTATGCATGCACACCATGTGCCTGAGACTGGAGGGCTTTTTCAGCAGGGTCTGTCTGTTGGTGTGTGCCAATGCCATTTGCCTCTTTGTGCTCCAATCTGAGGGCATAAGGGGCAGTTCAGACTAAATGCCTCTCCAGTTCCTTCTCTACCGTTGCATGATCTGAGACAGAACTTCTCCAGTGTCCTCTGACCTTTTTTCTCTTTGAACCAGTAAGTATTGTAAATATTTCATTTTAGGTCATTTAAACAGTTTTTGTTAATTTAGTATAGTATTAGAGTTATATCGTTAGTTAGTATAGTCTGTGGCGGAGGGCCTTCCCCTCATCTTCCATACTAGGTTTATTGTGTCCCAAATCCTGACTTTAAGAACTGTCTCTCCTACTCTTGGGTGTTCCTAGTTTCAGATGACCAGCCGCTGTGTCTATATTGCCTCAGAGAAGCCCTGGTCATTTCCAAGTGCAACTGCCACTCTTGTCCCAGCCGAACCAAACAGGCAAAGGCAGACAGACTCAAGAAACACCTTATGGAGCATGCTGTGAGTCTGCAGTCTGACCCAGCCTAGACAGCCCCCTCCTTTTACAGTGGCTAGAAGTGCCAAGAAACACACGACCAAATTCGTATTGGATGTGGAGGCAGGCAGGAGTAGAGATAAGTACTCCCATAAATCTACATATGAGAGTAGAAAACTCTTATGAGTTGGGGAGACGCCCCTGAATTGAGATCATCCCCCTGAGAGGAGAGCCTTTTCTCTAACACCATCTCAGTCAAGAGATGCTCGTGGATCTTTGAAGAGCTGTAAGGATGTCTCAGCAGATCTGCAGGCTCCAAAAGAGAAGATGGTACCAGAGGGCTCAATGCTACCACTGGAACCGAATGAACATAAGCACTGGGACCACCAGACCACGCAATCAGTGGCACTGTGCAAAGACAATCATACGTTGTTGGCTCTGACACACTCCAGCAAGGAAAATAACATACTAAAACCACCTGGTATTCTTCTCCTGATGATGCAAAAAGAGAGAAGCCCTCATCTTTCTGAAACTAAGGAAAGTTTCACATCACTGGAGGGCTTTATTATACTTCCTGATCCGGAGTCTCCTATTATTTCAACTTAGTACTCATCAGGGAAATTTTGACTCCATTGGTTCTGAGTTGGAGTGACAGGAGCCATTTTCTGATCCATTCTACCAAGTGGGATCCATCATCATTAGTGTCCCAGTGGCATGACTGATACAGGCGGATTCCATGTTTTTGTCTTTGGGAAAGTCAGTTGCAGGTGAAGAACCTGCCTCCCACACTCAGAAACAAGACTTTAGCCTGAATAGAGGATCCAAAACCTCAGGAATCCTTCTCATCCACATACAGTGACATACTGAACCCAGAATAGTAATACCCCATGCCTTGGGGTCCTCTGCAACCTATGTATAAGCCAGAACTCTGGCCATACTGGGGTCCAGGGATTTGTATGCATGGTACCATGAACTGATTCATGGTATGATGAGATAACTGGTTCTGTGGATGAAGGGAAAGCAGTGAACTTGTTATTCCTCGACTTTAGCAAAGCTTTTGACACGGTCTCCCGCAGTATTCTTGTCAGCAAGTTAAAGTAATATGGGCTGGATAGATGCACTACAAGGTGGGTAGAAAGTTGGCTAGATTGTCGGGCTCAACGGGTAGTGATCAATGGCTCCATGTCTAGTTGGCAGCTGGTATCTAGCGGAGTGCCCCAAGAGTCCGTCCTGGGGCCGGTTTTGTTCAATATCTTCATTAGAAGAATTAGTGGGGGAAGCAAAAGTGGATGGGAATCTGGGAGGCAGTGACCATGAGTTGGTTGAGTTCAGGATCCTGACACAGGGAAGAAAGGTAAGCAGCAGGATACGGACCCTGGACTTCAGGAAAGCAGACTTCGACTCCCTCAGGGAACAGATGGGTAGGATCCCCTGGGGGACTAACATGAAGGGGAAAGGAGTCCAGGAGAGCTGGCTGTATTTCAAGGAATCCCTGTTGAGGTTACAGGGACAAACCATCCCGATGTGTCGAAAGAATAGTAAATATGGCAGGCGACCAGCTTGGCTTAACGGTGAAATCCTAGCGGATCTTAAACATAAAAAAGAAGCTTACAAGAAGTGGAAGGTTGGACATATGACCAGGGAAGAGTGTAAAAATATTGCTCGGGCATGTAGGAATGAAATTAGGAGGGCCAGATTGCACCTGGAGCTGCAGCTCGCGAGAGATGTCAAGAGTAACAAGAAGGGTTTCTTCAGGTATGTTGGCAACAAGAAGAAAGCCAAGGAAAGTGTGGGCCCCTTAATGAATGAGGGAGGCAACCTAGTGACAGAGGATGTGGAAAAAGCTAATGTACTCAATGCTTTTTTTGCCTCTGTCTTCACGAACAAGGTCAGCTCCCAGACTGCTGTGCTGGGCATCACAACATGGGGAATAGATGGCCAGCCCTCTGTGGAGATAGAGGTGGTTAGGGACTATTTAGAAAAGCTGGACATGCACAAGTCCATGGGGCCGGACGAGTTGCATCCGAGAGTGCTAAAGGAATTGGTGGCTGTGATTGCAGAGCCATTGGCCATTATCTTTGAAAACTCGTGGCGAACGGGGGAAGTCCCAGATGACTGGAAAAAGGCTAATGTAGTGCCAATCTTTAAAAAAGGGAAGAAGGAGGATCCTGGGAACTACAGGCTAGTCAGCCTCACCTCAGTCCCCGGAAAAATCATGGAGCAGGTCCTCAAAGAATCAATCCTAAAGCACTTACATGAGAGGAAAGTGATCAGGAACAGTCAGCATGGATTCACCAAGGGAAGGTCATGCCTGACTAATCTAATCACCTTCTATGATGAGATTACTGGTTCTGTGGATGAAGGGAAAGCAGTGAATGTATTGTTTCTTGACTTTAGCAAAGCTTTTGACATGGTCTCCCACAGTATTCTTGTCAGCAAGTTAAAGAAGTATGGGCTGGATGAATGCACTATAAGGTGGGTAGAAAGTTGGCTAGATTGTCGGGCTCAACTGGTAGTGATCAATGGCTCCATGTCTAGTTGGCAGCTGGTGTCAAGTGGAGTGCCCCAGGGGTCGGTCCTGGGGCCGATTTTGTTCAATATCTTCATAAATGATCTGGAGGATGGTGTGGATTGCACTCTCAGCAAATTTGCGGATGATACTAAACTGGGAGGAGTGGTAGATACGCTGGAGGGCAGGGATAGGATACAGAGGGACCTAGACAAATTGGAGGATTGGGCCAAAAGAAATCTGATGAGGTTCAATAAGGATAAGTGCAGGGTCCTGCACTTAGGACGGAAGAACCCAATGCACAGCTACAGACTAGGGACCGAATGGCTAGGCAGCAGTTCTGCAGAGAAGGACCTAGGGGTGACAGTGGACAGGAAGCTGGATATGAGTCAACAGTGTGCCCTTGTTGCCAAGAAGGCCAATGGCATTTTGGGATGTATAAGTAGGGGCATTGCCAGCAGATCGAGGGATGTGATCGTTCCCCTCTATTCGACATTGGTGAGGCCTCATCTGGAGTACTGTGCCAAGTTTTGTGCCCCACACTACAAGAAGGATATGGATAAATTGGAGAGAGTCCAGCGAATGGCAACAAAAACG